GTCGTTGCAGCAGTCAACCCCAGAATGAGCAAAACTACTGTCCATACTAAAAGAAAAGAAGTCGCATTTTCTGTTTTATGGAGTATTTATTCCCTTTTCATGCACGTGTCAAAACGATTGTTAGTGTTGTGTTGTGTTATAAATCTGTATGCTGTTAAGTTTAAAATAATCTATAAGAAATCTGTCATGCTCATTAATATAATACTGTGTCACCTCGAATACTGTGTTCAGTTTTGGGCCCCTCACTACAAGAAGGATGTTGCATTGCTGGAGCATGTCCAGAAGAGAGCAACCAAGCTGGTGAGGGGTCTGGAGCACAAGTCATACGAGGAACGGCTGAGGGGACTGGGGGTGTTCAGTCTGGAGAAGAGGAGGCTGAGGGGAGACCTGATCGCCCTCTACAGCTACCTGAAAGGAGGCTGTAGGGAGGTGGGGGTCGGCCTCTTCTCCCTGGTAACAGATGATAGGACGAGGGGGAATGGTTTGAAGCTGCGCCAGGGCAGGTTTAGGTTAGATATTAGGAAAAACTTCTTCACTGAAAGGGTTGTCAGGCTCTGGAATGGGCTGCCCAGGGAGGTGGTAGAGTCCCCATCCTTGGAGGTATTTAAAAGAAGGATAGATGAGGTGCTTAGGGATATGGTTTAGTGGTGGGATGGCAGGGTTAGGTTAACGGTTGGACTCGATGATCTTAAAGGTCTTTTCCAACCAAAGCGATTCTATGATTCTATGAAAGACCCAGCCTCCCTCTGGACTCACAGGACTCTGCGCAGGCCTGTGCTTTGCACCCTCCAAAGCAGAGTGATGATCAGTGGTGGGAGCACTCAGACCCTTTGACTCTGCAGTCCCCAGGGAACCCCTTACTTGTCTGTGCTGTGACCGTCTGGCTGGTGGTCTCCATGCAGGCAAGCGTGGCTGTCACCTCAATCTTGTAGCGCATGCCAGGGGTCAGCCCGTGGAACCAGAAGCTGGTGATGTTGGGTCCAGCAGATCCATTCTGCAGTGGCGTGCCCGACTCCAGGGAGGAGAGGGCGAGTGAATATCCCTCGGCACCCCCCTCCAGCTCATCCCAGGACAGGAGGAGGGAGTCCGACCGGCCGTGGTCACTCACGCTGAGGTTCAGGAGGGTCCCTGCAGAGACAAAGCCAAAACCCTCAACAGGGAGCTGTGGTGCTGATGGGCGCCCAGCCTGCAGGGCTCCCCAGCCCACCCACCCTCACTGCACACCTCGGCCCGGGCCATCACCATGGGCACTGCCGCGATCAGGCCCCCTGGCCCCATAGGCTCTGAACAGCCTTTGGAAAACAGAAGAAGGTTGAGAGACCCCCGCGGACTGGGGTCAAAGGCACCATGTGAAAGAGACGCTCCTATGCACAGAGCATCCTAAACAACCAAAAAAACACTTGACCCAGTTGAAAATAAGAGCGTCAATGAAGGCAGTTAGTGCAGAGGGAAAGGAGCAGGGGGGAGGTGAAGCTCGACGGCTCCTAAGCATGGAGCATCTCTTCTGCTGGAGAAAGACCAGAAGGCTTCAGACCATTGCATGCTTTGTCCAGACAGCCCTGGTTTATGGCAGAAAAGTTGCCCTGGCTGAACGTGATCCATTGCCCACCAGCTTGCCTGGTTTGAGCCTCCAGAAAGATGTTGAAGGGCTCTGGGTCCACCTTGCAGAAGCAAGGGCTGTCAGGCGCTGGAAGGGGCTGCCCAGGGAAGGGGTCGAGTCCCCAGCCCTGGGGGGATTTAACAGCCGGGCAGAGGCGGTGCTGAGGGCCAGGGTTTGGGGGTGGGATGGCAGGGGTAGGGGAGCGGTTGGGCTGGGGGAGCTTAAAGGGCTTTTGCAACCCAAACCATTCTGTGATTCCATTCTATGATTCCTAAGACAACGGCCAGCGAGGGCGCGGGTCGGATATGGCCACGGGGCCGTTATGCTCCCTGCCATAGTCCCTGTCTGTGTGGGTTCTGCCAGGGGCGGGGGCAAAGGCTGCTTTGGAGGGGTCCGGGCACTGACTCCCCGTGTCCTGCCCAGTGCAGAGGTGACATGGGCAGAGCAGGACGCTGTGTATGTGGAGGAACAGCGGGGCCAGACGTGCGCAGCCCCTGCTGAGGTGTGTCCTGCCTTGGCCTTGCTGAGCAGCACGGTCGGTGCGCTGAGCTGCAGGGCCGGTGCTGCAGCATCCAGGCGGAGAGCAGCTGGGGACAAGGAGGTGGCACACGGGGCTTTGCCTAATTGGTGGGTCAGTGGCCAAGACTGCTATTGAATCCCTGCCTTTGGAGTTGCTCAGGAACCACCTACACAAACAGGGGCCAGACAGAGCCTGTCTGTTGGGACCAGGCTGGCAACGTGACCCTTGCAGGCTCCATCTCTGCCTCCCCGTGCCTCCGCTAGCAGATCGCCATGCACTCCTCGTCCCCAGCCTCGCGGCGAACCATGAGCCCTCTATTCCTCTCAGCCTTTGGGAAACACCAGAACAGCTGTAGTGCTAGTAAGACATTTGTGTAATAATTAGCACTCAACATTTATGATGTGCAACACGTTGTAACAGGCTTACGTGTGATCTGGCACGGCAAGAAAGCTTTAAACAAGCACAGCTATTGCCCCGGGGGTCTGCCCGCGGGCTGCCTTTGCACAGCAGAAGAGGAGCAGTGTATGGTGAGCCCCAGGGGCAGGGGGCTGCTCTGGTGCCATCTGTGGCCTTGCCACAAAGCTGGACAGTTGCAGGACTCCATGCAAGTTCTGCTTCATGCAATGCCATCGTGTGGAGCCTGCTGCCATGGTGAGGGCTCCACTCAGCAGATGGGTGCAAAGGCAATTGAGAAGTTAGCTGGACACAGAAGAGGAGCACCTAGTCCCCCTGGGGAGGTCTTCTCAGTGCCATCCCTGAGCAGGTCAAGTGCAGATTTAGGAACAGCTCGGGAAGGGTTGTCTGGATGTAGCTGGGTGCCCACGGGTCAGGTGCCTACGCCTGGGCAGCTGCCCTGGGCTCCCTTGCTGGCAGCAGAGACCACAGCAGCCTGCGGAGCACAGGGCATGGTTCACCTCCTCCCGAGGACAGCTGGCAGGATCGTGCCCTGCACGGAGTTCAAGCGGGGATGGTTTTTCACTGCGGACTCTTTCTATCTCAGGAAGGTACGAGATCTCTACCCATGTTTGTCTGCTTTTCTCCAGTACCCAACTGCATCGCCTGTCTCCACCTGCCCTTCAGCCATCACCTTCTTCACCTCTGCAGCACAAATGTACAAACAGAGGCAGCCTGTAGCCCTGGGGCCCACGATCACGCCACCGCTCACACCCCCACAGATAAGCTCCACTAACCACATCACAGGCAGCTACATCCAGGTACACCCCATGCCCTGGTGCCTGCAGATCATCTGGGAGGGTTTTCACCGGCACAGGCCAGCGGCGTGCGGGCACCGCGCTGGCTCCGAGCACACGGCAGTGCTTGCTGGCTGCAGGGTGAGCAGGGCTGAGCTGCTCCCTGGCCGGCTCGGCACCGCTGTGGGGCTGCCCCACGGAGCAGGAGCCTGCCCAGCCAACTGCAGGCACCTACGGCCCTGCTGCTGCGGAGCCTGCTTGGTGCTCCGTGGGAAGGAGGGAGCTTGGAGCCTTGTCCATCTCTCACACTGCTCCCCATCAGGCTGGTTGCTGGAGGAGGCTGGGCCTGACGCCCTCCCCTTCCCTGGCTGTGACCAGCAGCCTGCAGTAAGTCTAAAGCAGAGTATTTACAAAGCTACACTTAACTCCCAGCTCAGCTCACAGCTCCCAGGCACCCAGACCACCCTGCGCAGCCTGGGGACCTCTTTGCTTTGACTTACCTCCATCACCGGGTGCATCCTGTCCCTCCAGCCCTGACTCTGCTGTCCGGTTGCATCCCTTGCCCTGGGGATTGAAAGCATCAAGTGAGAGTGGGGCAAGGCGAGGTGACCTGAGCTGAGACCAACCTGACCAGGGGTCAGGCTGCCCAGGCACAGCTCCCGCCCAGCCGTGGCATCGGGGGGCTGCAACCCTCTGGGGACTGTGACCCTTCTTCAGAGGAGACCCCGGGTCACTGCTCACATCGCCCTCCCCTATCCCAGGCAGGGAGACAGACTCAGCAGATGTACCTTGGAGGCTGCCCTGGCCTTTGGCACAGGTCCTGGAAGGACAGACGATGTGGGGCCGTGCCCACAGGGGAACACCACCCCCCCCCCCCCAAAACAGCCAGAGCACAAGGGGAACATTTGGGGAGGGAGGGAGCTCTGCACAGGCCCTGGCAATCTCATTCCCTCTACAGGCACTACCCCTTTCCCACAGTCATGGGGGCAAGGATGGGGGGACCCCAGGCCCCTGCCTAGCTGCCATCCCCCCCAGGCTGCAAAGTGAGGGCTTGGCCCGAGAGCTCCAGAGCACCCAGCACCCTCCATGCTGCAGCGGGTGCTGAGCAGGCTCGTGGGACACCCGTCTCCCCACAGTCTGCTGGCGAGCAGGGTGTGCCCTGCGTCGGCTGAGGCTAGTTCCCTCCACATTAAAGGAAATATCTCTGCCCACTCCCTCTCCTGCAACAAGCCACGGAGGAGCAATCATCTCTCTTTAGTCGTTTCCCCCTTGGCTCTGCTGGCTGACTCATTTCTGGCTCCCCCACCAACTGCAGTGCTTTTGGGAGCGTGTGCGTGGAGGGGAGCGGAGGGGCTCCGGACCCCTGGGAACGGCAGCCAGGCAATGCCTGGGGCGAGGAGCCGTGAAGCCATGGCAGCAGGAACACGCTCCGATCCCAGGCGCTGGTGCGAGAGGGCATGGTGAGGGGGGAGGAAAGCGGAGGGAAGAGCCAGCTCGTAATTGCAAACGTCGCTAATTTGGTGCAGCTGCACGGCTGGAGACGCAGCCCAGAAATATGCCGTCATTCCTCAGCGGGGTAGGACTATGCGGAGCCCCTTGCCGCCAGAGAGCTTGGAGCCAAGCGCCTGCATGGACAAACGGGGGGGTGAAGGGACAAGCGCTTACCTCTGCAGGGCTTCCCAGGAGCCACGGCACCCACAGGACAGGCAGCGGCAGCAGCGGTGGCCTCATCAGGACCAGGGTGGCTGCAGATTAGAGGGATGACAAGTTGGGGGGTGGAGGGGTGGCTTCTTAGCAGTGGCTGTCCCCAGCCAGCCCCTTCTCCCATGGCAGCAAGGGGCTGCGTCCCCACATGCTTTCCGAGTGCGGGTGACAGGATGACATCAGCGGGGACAGGCGTTGCACGCCAGCGCGTTGCACGCCAGCGCGTTGCACACCAGCCCTGCCAGCTGTGCCTGGGCAGGAGCAGAGCTCGCCGCCGGGCTGGGAGAAGTCCAGCGTGCGTTTGTGCCTCTCGCTGGGGGCATTTGCTATTGTTCCCGCGGCTCCGTGTCCCTCTGCGGTGGCTCTGCTGCTGCGGTCCT